TCGGGGCCTGGGTTTCAGCTGTCCACACCACAGCAGTGGGCAACGAGCTTAAAGCCCCTGATGGCTCTGGGCGCTGACTCTCACCAGTGGCTATGGATGAAGTCACAGGCAATTTTCTGCCAGCGCCGATAGAATGTTTCTTAGAGGCAAGGACGATGCCACTTGGCTCACATGATTTGAGTGTGTTGTCAAGAAGGCTGTGTTTTAGGAGCTATCCAGACTGTTCTCCCAGGTGTGTTAAGGACCTGCAGATGCTCTCTGTGCCGCCAGAGTGCTCCTTCGAGGCAAGGATGGTGAAGCTTCATCCCCCCTTCTCTGAGCATCTTGTTGGGAGCACCTATTACTTGGAAAGGAACATCATGCTTGGAAAGATGGAGGGTCAGCGAAAGGGAGGAAAAACCTCAGCGAGATGGATTGACACAGTCACTGCAGACCTCAAGTGTGTTATAGAGGGTGCGATGGCCCCGATAGGGCTCGGATCTGTTGTTCATAGGGTCACTATGAGTCGTACTCGACAGCCTCTAATGATGACAATAGCAGGGGACGGGAGCATAGAGATGGTAAATTCCAGTGAGATGAGCTTGCTGCCCGCTGCCTCCATCTGATCCCTCTCTTGCAGTAGGACATTGGGCGCCACCAGAAACTTGGGCTTCCAGCGCCATGAACCATGTCTTAGAAACAGTGCCCTGAGTCAGGACAGCATCCTGCCTTTGGAAACTCAGCCATGGATGCTCCCTAAATTGCAGAAGCCTCTCCAGCCAGTAGGTGGAACTGACTGAAAAAGCATCTACTTTTGGAGTCTTGCCCGGTTCTTTAATTAATGGCTTCTTACCTGTGAGCTTAGATTAGCTGGCGTGTCCAAGGCTTTCCTGAGGTCTGGCAGGAATCTGCCCATGCCCTAGAACTGTCAGCTCTGCATGGATCCTTCAGGCTCCACACAGGTTCTAAAGCACCTGGGAGAAAGTGCTAAATCTTTTTATTTTATTATAAACAAAATAACATAGTCTTTATAGCAAAACCAGAAAAGTATCAATAAGCAGCTCCCACCAGGAATAGCCATCACTGTTTGCATTTTCAGTGTATTTCTTTTTCATGTGATGATGTACATGATACACATAATTGATTTCCTAGGCTATTTGCAGCCCCCTCTCTCATACATTTAACACTAGTGCATACGCATTTTTCAGCACCTGTATATCCCTGAAGAGCACGGTTGTCATGCTGCATTTATAGGCTTACCAAAAAGTGCCTAATATCCCCATGTACGTCCATTCCTGCGTCCTTGTTTAATGTCTTTGTGCCAAAACTGAATTCTGTATTCTTTCCTTAGGATAGATTCTGACATCAAATTACTGGGTCAAAGATATATAAAGCTTTTAAAAGTAGCGATCTTAAATATCTACACTGTGGTTTAGATCATCTAGTATTTGATAGATAACATAAAATTGCTCTCTGGAAAGCATGTAGTCATTTTTGCTCTGAGCTCATCCATTCTTAATGAGGGTGAAAATTAGTTCTGGGCGAGGGTGAAAAATCTTCGAGGTAATGCTTTGTGGCCCTCCACGGGCTCCCTTACCGTGCAGAAGCCGGTATCGGTGATAGTAAATGACATCATTCATTTATGGGAATGAGCACCCATCCCACTCCAGTCTTGCTAGTTTTAAACCTTAGCTTTGGGGTTTTGATTTTTGGTCTAGTTAATACTTACCTTTAGACAAATTTTAACAACTTGAGAAAGGTGTGCATAAGATAAAAGTCATCTGGAGACTACCACTGTTGATATTTCTCTTTAAAACAAAATTGAGACCTTCCAGGCCTTTGCATCTGTAATGTTACCATTGCACTGCCATTATCCCATTATCATTCTCATGTGTGTCAAGGACCACTTTGAAATACTGCCTGTGTGATGCTCGCTCTCATGAAGGGATTTCCTGCCCCCACCCTGTCAGGGAGTGTGTCGGTGACCCTCCCAACTAGTGTCAGACACAGCCCTGTGGGAGCCCAGGCGCCTGGCTGCTCTGGGATTTGGCTAATTGTCCCTTGTTTGTTTCAGGCGTGATCCCCTGGGCCCATTTTCTGTCGGGGGAGAAGACCTGGACCCCTTTGGGTAAGTCCTGCTGGAAGGTGACAGCGGCACAACTTGCTCCCGTGGCCTGTCAGCCCAGCTCATCGGCTAATTTTAGAACACTTCATCACTCTTGCTCTGGGGTGAAGGAGGCAGGAGCTGAGTGGCTGCGAAACCATACCCAGAGCTGTGCAGGAGCTCTCCGAGTGTGAGGGTGGGACCGAGGAAACCCAACAGGGCACCTGTCTCATTCCCTGGCCTGGCGCTGTGTCCTGCTGGACAGCAGGCCACCCCAAGATTAACCAGTACATGGATGACACCAGACCTTTGGGCAGTTCAGAGCTATTCAGAAGTCACCTCACTTGGTGAGGGGAGTCACTGACCCCCATCAGACTCCCGGTCACTCTCCCAAGTTACTCCAGCCTCATTGGCGCCTTGTCCTCGCCGGGTGACCCCCTGCGTGGTTGACGATGGCACACCCATGACTGCACATCTGAGACATGTTTGAGCACATGGGGTCAGATCCACAGAACTCCGTCAGGGTGGAGGAGAGGATTCCCTCAGGAGCCAGACTCCAGGAACCTATAGACCCTTAAGGAACTAGGGGAAGGGATTCCAAGCATCATAAACTGTATCACTGTCTTGCCAGTGTCCTCATAGCATTATCACTGGCCCTTTGATCACCTGTGAAGCCTTGTTGTCGTTCAGCATCAGCTCTGGAGCATACGGCTCCTGTTCTTGATCACATTGACCCCCATGGGTCAACGGCATGGCCGAATCTTAACTCTTCAGTCTTGGGGAGCCCTGCAGAGCAGAAAGTGCAGGTCTCTTCTGTCAGGAAGGGTGTGTTCTTCGTGTTCTTGTCCCTGCCCACTTCCTGCTGCGCCCACCAGTTGCTGGGACCACAGAGAGCAGACCCCCCCCAGCCATCCTTGGTCCGTTCTTGCTTCCCTCACCCCTTCTCCTCCCTCAGCTCTGTGCCACACCTACACTCACCTACCTTTCCTTCTTGCCTAAGGTATGGGCGAGGTGGCATGATTGTGGATCCCCTGAGATCTGGCTTCCCCAGAGCACTTATTGACCCATCCTCAGGCCTCCCAAACAGGCTTCCTCCAGGCGCTGTGCCCCCAGGAGCACGCTTTGACCCCTTTGGACCCATCGGAACCAGCCCATCTGGGTAGGTACTTGGAGGCGCTCAGTAGTAGAACTGAGTGGCCTTTGCTCAGTGGGTGGGTGTGAAGGTGGCCGAGTGAGTGGTGGGAGTGGAGGTGGCAAATGGCAGGTGGAGAGTTTTACCTCCTTTGACTCATTTCTTCCCTCTGCTGAGAGTGGCCCCTCCCTCACCCTCTGCCGGACACCTCCCTGGAGCCCCTGGAGAACTTCTCTTTCTGGATGTCTCCCTTCCCCGGCTCCCTTCAGGGGAGGACCCAGAAGAGGAACTAATGCTGATTGAAAACATGCATGTGTCAGCTCCTCATTGGAACCCTCTGTCCACATTCGCTGGTAGATGTTTTATGATCCCCATTTTAAAGATACAGACGTTGAGGCCCTGAGATAGGAAGTAACTTACTAAGTTTGTACACTAACAATTGGAAGAGTTAGGATTCACACCCAGGCTGCCTGGCTTGAGGTCATACGCTCTTAAACCCCAAAAACACATCTTTTTGAAGCGCAGACTCTTGGTTGAATTCCACGGCTGCCTGTGTGACACCAACCCCTCTCTCACGCCAACTCACCAGCCACTGTTTTCCTTCCAGACCTAACCCAGACCATCTGCCCCCACCGGGCTTCGATGACATGTACCTGTGAAGGCCTCAAGCATGTGCCACCCCCGCCTTCCCTCCTCTCTCCCGGAGCTACCACCGTGGGCCCCATCAGCCTCCATGTTCTTGGGGACACGGGGCAAGGGACTCTGCCTGTGTGTTCACAGGCCAGCTGGGATTACCTCCCTGCTCCCTCCTGTGACACCCCCTTCAGCACCCCACCTGGCTGCTCTTAGGCCCCATGGAGAAGTCTCACCACCAGCACCTTCCGCCTTCCAGGGGAGACCCGGCAACACACACCCTCGACCTGATGCAGCACTATAAGAACAGAACGCATTTTGGATGTTATTATTAAGAACCAAATGTCTGTCAATACAAAAGTCATGTTGCCGGTCTCCTGCTTTCGTTACTTTGACACACAGCTCCTCCGGTCAGGGGACCTCATGGAGTCTGTCGGGGTTAAACACTTGCCCTGGCTGGGCTCCACTGTGGCTGCTCAGGTATTTTCCTCTTGTAAATCACTGCTGTCTTTGCACCACCAAGATGGGTGCACACAGATGAAAGTGTGACCAGAACCCCAGTGAGCCACGCAGATGACTTCCACGAGAGCGAGAGTGAACATTAGGAGAAGCGAACTCCTCCACTTCTGCCTGTTCTGGGCCAGTCTTCTGGGTCTTTCTGGGCATGGGCAGTAACAGCTGCCCAACAGCAGAGGAGCAAACAGACCTGAAGGCTCATTTTTGCTCCCAGCTCACTGAATGACCCTCTGCAAGTTCACCTCCCTCACAGGGCCTGTGTGCCTACTGGGAAAACCTGAGGTCCATTCCTACTCTAAACTTCCTGCTGCCTGTTCCTGTGTGAATACACAGCCCCCCTCCACCCCCGAGTGCCTGCCTCTGGAGCATGTGTCCCGTGTCTGGGCCCACCTGACCTTCCATTTTCTCCGGCTCCTTTTCAGCCCGAGGCCTGACAGACGTGGTCACTGATGAACCCACATGCCAGAATGGAGAGAACGCCACATAGCACCAGGCTCAGAGGCAGGAGACCGTGGCGCTAGTCACTCACCCTGGACAGCTAGCTCTTCAGCCATGGAAGCGTCTGTCAGCTCCCACGCCTAGGGTACCTTCCTTAATGTGGACGTATTGGTCAGCTAGAGGCACGGAGCTCTCAAGCCTTCTTGTGATGCTCGTTTTCTAGCATCTAGAATTGCCTACCTGCCCCACCTGCTGATGAGCAAAGGGCCAACTAGACTGACACACAGGCCCAGGGTCAATCTCAGATGGAGACTGGACCTGGGTGAGGAGCTGACTCCGTGGTACTTCTGGCAGACACACAAGAGCTGACCAATTCAAAGCCCTTAGAACATAGACCCAGAGGTGAAGTACAACTAAAAAATGAGTGTGTAGCACGAGGACAACTCTGTCCCCGTCGTCGTCCTCAGAGGCTGGCCCGCAGGGGAGTGGGAAATGTTAGCTTTGCTTTAGAATTGGCCCGTGCCTGCAACAAGAAGGACCTGAGGCAGTATGTTCATAAAAACACCCTTTCTAATAATCAAAGGAAGCACTGAAAGGCCCATCAGGCAGAAGCAGGGACGGCAGATCACTTTTAGGACTCTGATTTTAGAAGACTTGATAATCTTTGACACTTCACTTTTCTAGAAACCCCTTTGGGTTTATATACATAAAAAATTCTGTTTTCTGAACAGAAGAGTGAGTGATTCATCCACAGAATCAGGCATTTTCCTGGCATTAAATCCAGGAGGCACTTCCTCTGTGGGTCTCCTTGCATCAAGGACATGGGCAAGGTGCGTCTTAGTCAGTGGAGGAGAGAAGTGAATGGGGCCTGTAGGAATTTGAGTCCAGCTCTTAGTGCTTGTTGGAAGTCTGGGCCATGTACCTCCTTCCAGCTGTGAAGGTACACTGACGTTGGTGTGTGTACTCTGAAACCCCAGAAGTTGAAGGCCTAACAATAAACATCAACACTTAGTAACCTGTTCCTCTTTTTATTTTTTTCCAGTAACAACTTTATTGAAATACTCAAATACCATCAAGTTAACCCTTCTAAAGTCAACAACTCGGTGGTTTTTCTCATATATCCACTGTGTTGTGTATCCATACCAGTAACTAATTCCTGAACGTTTTCACCACCCCCAAAAGAGACCCCATAACCATTAGCAGCACTCTTATTTTCCCTTCCCCTCACCCCGGCAACCACTAATCTACTTTTGATCTCTAAGGATTTGCCTGTTCTGGGTTTCTCTCACAAATGGAATCACGCGCCGTGGCCATTAGTGTCTGCCGTCTTCCACTCAGCATGTTTTCAGGAGCCATACATGTAGCACGTCTGAGGACTCCATTCCTTGTTAGGACTGAATAATATTGTCGCACCACATTCTGTTTACCCATTCATCAGCTGGGGGACATTTAGGTTATTTCTGTTTTTGTGTGGGCACGTTTTCATTTCTGACAGGAGAATTGCTAGATGATAAAATAACTCAGAGTTGAACTTTCCGAGGGACTGCCAGACCCTTTTCCACATCCTTGCCGACACTGGTTATTTGTTGTCTTAACTAGTCATCCCAGTAGGTGTGAAGTAGTACCTCATTGTGGTTTTGCTATCTTCTTTAAAAAAAAAAGAAGACATTTTTACCTAGGCCAAGGGAGGCAGAGACCAGAACCGGCCACCCTTGTGAGCAGCTGGTGCCTCTGATAATCACAGCCAGGGGCTGGTCGTGGTTGAAGAGTGGCCGAGGAGCCGCTGGCGTTGACTCAGAGGACTTTCTAGCTCTAGGAAAGTTCTCAGAACCTCTCCCGATCTAGGGAGATGGTGCAGGCATCACCTTCACCTGGTCTTAACGTCTGTGTGTTAAACAACTTCACAAGTTAAGATGAGAGTCTGGCTCCAGATAACTGGCTTTTGATGGCATGCCATAGACCAAGTATACCAGTTCCAAGAGGCGCCAGCAGTCCGCACAGCACGGCCTCTGCATCCTTATCGCCCCAGTTTTCAGCAGTCATGTATTATCTTCTCCCATCACGGACCTCTGTCACCCTCCACAGCCAAGTCACGGGCCTTGTAAAGCACCATCTCCAAGGAAGAGCTCTTCTCAGAATGCAGTCGTCAGGTGTCACCTTGTCACTGCGGCCTCAGCAGCCCCGTGCCCACCAAACAGAAACACTGCCCGGGCTTGCGCCACTCTCCCCTCGCTGCCGTGGTCGAGTCCAGTGGCTGCAGCCATTGTCAGACCATTCTGTTTAGAGTCTTTCTCTCTCTCACTGACTTTAACACACACGATCCTTCTCCAGGAACTACCCCTACTGACAACACGTCCCAAGTACATCCGAGGCAAAGCTGCACCATTCTGGCAAAGTCACAGCAGCCTCGCTACTAAAGAATATCCTGTCTGTGCTTTTTCCAAGACTTATTTCTTCTGGCACCCCAGGGTTTATTTCATATTTTTCCCCAATACCAGAATTCAAAGGCATCATTCTTCAATTCCCGTTACACATTGTCCAGTTTTCTCATGCCTGTGAACAAGCAGACTGCCTCCAAGTCAGTGCCTGCCAACCCTCAGATAGCTACAGAATCCCCAGGACCTCATTCTCTGGGACTCGGGTTCCTTCAAGGCCTCCCTTTCTACTATCAGTAGCATTCTGTTCCGGATGCATGCCCCACTTGAAGGGAGGAAAATGAGAGTCTGTGTAGTTGTTCATGTCCTGTCACCGTTTAATTCTGTCTGCTTTCTGCTTTGATGCAGTTCCTGGAAGAAACCAAGGAGAGGAAAGCTCCCCCGCATTCATAGCCTCAGCTTTTTCTGTTTTTAAAAACTGGTATGTGCACTGTCACTCTCAGTACTCTGCACCACAGGGAGAGACTGCAGAGCAGACTTCCAGGCCTGCAGCCCAGCCCATGTGTGTCCTGGGACACCACCGCCATGCCCCATCATTTCAGCCACGTGTGGGCCCAGGTCTGCAAGGAGGGTGGCTCCCCAAGGTGGAGGTGTCAGGCACTGAGGATGGCAGAGCCCAGAGGAGTGCGAAAGGGCCTTTAGAAACCACAAGGACACACCTGAACATCGCATTCATGGCAGGGCCCAGTGGGGGCTGCAAAGTTAAGACCCAGCTCCTGTGGGAGGAACAAAGGGCTGACAGTGCAGTCTGTCTAATAAAGGAGCTGGATGTGCTCATGAAAGGCTGCGTCCAGACGAGCCAAATAAGGTGAGAGTCAAAGTGCTTGGGGGAGGAGGAGGGGTGTACCCTGCTGAGGTGTGAGTTCAGCTGTAGTAAACAGAAACAATTTTAGATCTAGATAGCAGCAGGATCACATCACAGGCCATGACCTGGGGGTGAGGAAGTTGCAGACAGCAGAGCCTTACACAACCACCTCAGCTTGTACCAGGGCACGAGTAGCCTTCATATGCCACGCGACAGCCCAGTTCTACATACAAGGCTTGTTTGAGTGCATCTGATTGTTAGAACATACATCACGTCTTAAACCAGAGCCTCAAGGGAGCCTGGGGAAATGGCCTTGCTCCTGCCCCCTGCCCCATTCAGGAAGGGACATTAGGAAGCTAGGACAGGGGTCAGGTGAGCCCATCTCCCAGGCCTTCACCAGGTGCCATAATACAGCCAAGCATACCTAGCCTGCCCAAGCCCAACAATCTCTAAGGTATACAGCTCAGAGCACAAGGTCAGACGTCCTCTGCCTAGACCCACGCCCGAGTCCAGAGCTCCAGGCAAGGGCCCACCTTTGTCTTCAGGGGCTCCTGGCGTAATGCGTATCATCAGGCCAGCCTGAGCATGGAGAGGGGAAGCCCACATCCTTGCGCCTCTTTCCGCAGCAGCGGCATCACCTGGGAGCTTGTTAGAAACGCACACTGTGCTGGAAGGAAGAATCTGCATTTCAGCAAGCTCTGCAGGTGATTTTTATGCACATCTCAGTTGAAGCAGCTCTGCTCTACAAACTCCATCTTCTCCCTCACCTGGATCTTAACTGCAAAGAATTGAGTCATTCACAGTTCATAATACATTATGTATGATTAATGCA